ACATTGTTGGTAATATTGGCATTAGCTATACTTAGGATTATCTGTAGACGTTAGTAAAAAAAAAAATATACTAGGATCCAATTTTCAGATGGCGTTTCAAATTGATTGGCATAAATTTTTGACGAGTGGCAACTCTTATCCCCTATACTTATTATACTCTTTGGTTCGTTCGTTTGGTTGACAATCGCGATGTGATGTATTCTACATCATCGCATGCTGAGTTATATTTTCAACAAAACCTTTTAATTTTAATTAAGTTACTTGATTAATTTCTAAATGTTTTCTTTCATTGTGAATACTTTTCTCTGTTTTAATTTCTAAATATGTGTAATTTGCCGCCGAAGTTCCATTCAGTGTGTCGCCTTTGTTTATCATTCTGTGGCGATAATTGCAGTGATGTTAAACTTCCAATTTTTGACCGTGATAAGGATAAATCACGTCTTTCCGAGATGATAATGGCAAATTTGTCAATAATGGTAACAATTTTTGATTATTTCTTGCAATGATCATTGAACAGGAGGAGTTTTCTCGTGTGAAAGTTTAGCGTAAGCGTATGAGATTGTGGATGCTGATAAGCGCCATTAACTTTCTCGCGGGTGTTGGGTATTTTCGCATTGTGATATCATATTACGGCCCACGCGTCGATTGCTCGGCTGTATGACTAATGTCATTCGTGGAAATGATATGCGAGCGTATAGCAGGCGCGCTGTATCAGCGACGCGGCCGCTGATAACAAAGGAGCGCGGACGGCGGAGACCACCTCGCGCTCGCCTCACACCTGCGCCGCTCCTGCGGTGGCCCTCGGACCTCCGCATCGGCTCCTCCACAAATACACTGCTCAAACCCATGCTCTTTGACAGTGCTTATCCATGTTATGCTATGCCCTGCTATTTTGAGATTTCAATATTATCTAAATTTAGATTTGTATTTTAAGGCAATCAATCTGCAGGGGGACTCCATGTTCCCATTTTGTCACAGTGTGCATCCTCCTTGGTGCAGGAACAACTTGTGGATTTCTAATGTGTTTGTTATCAGATTGCCACCAATGACTCATCATCTATGATTACACTTGCAAAAGGTCACTGGCCACATCAACTCTCCTAATGACTGAGGTGTTGTGAAACTAACTTAGTTATATTTCTAATGCTGTGAATAATATTTTTAGGTTTCCCCTGAAGACTTGCTGCCACAAGTCGTGTGTGGGGGCTGTGCACACAAACTTGATGAATTTCACACCTTCCGAGAATTATCACACAAATCTGAACGACTTTTGGAACAGTTTTTGCAATATGCTAATTCACTCTCTGGTCCAAAAGAGGTGAGTTTCCTATAGTCTTATGATATTTTTATTTTTAGCAAACAAACAAAAACAAAAGTGTTTTAAAATTTATTAATAATTTCCAAAAATATTTAATACAATTTCTATTTACATATTTTCGTTACTATCTAAAACTTCCTGATAGTATAATTCTATTGAAGATATAATACAATTTACTGATTAGTACTACTAGGGTGTTATCATGCAAAACTGGTATCTGAGTTTAAGTTGATATAACGGATTGGTTGGGTCTTGATCTTTTTGTTGTAGCAAGATTTGACTGCATTAACAAGTAGGCCAAGTAACATACCTAAACAGGCTATTAATGCTACTCCTAGGATGCTGTATAAGATGTGTTTAGGTTTTAGGTTAGATAAAGTGAATACCCTGATGTTCTTAGGTTCTGTGTTCAAAGTTGGGCAGTAGGGAAGTGTAATATTGGTTATGTATGCTCCACTGAGCCTCATAGGGGCAGCACAGCTGTAATAAGAAGAAAGATGTTAAAATAGTTTCACACTGTAAATTCTGGTAGCACAAATTAGCCAATCAAAAGGCACCCTTAAAATTAACCGATAGGTTAATATTTAATATCTGTGATTTAAATGTAAAACAAAATTACTATTTACAATCTCTGATTAGATCATAAAATATGAAATACTATGATGAACTCATAGCTTGATAATTTTATGAGCTGACATACTGTCATAAACCAGTCTTAGACTGAAATATTAGTTATATTGTAGCTTGAGAAGTTTCTGTAAAGTTTTATATTTTAGAGGATTTCCTCTATATTAGAGATATAATCTGAATATTTATTGTATCTATTCCTTGAACCCCTTTGTGCCAAAAATTTTGTGAATAGGACCGCTCACTTTAGCAGTAAAAGCCAGCCACATTATGCATGGATATTATAATCTGAACCTTGAAAATTGTTGAAAATCATTCCCTAAATTTGTTCATACAAAAGTAGTCTCTAAACATTGTAAATAAGGTCTATAATGTAGTCAGTGGAGAGTGGTCACCGGTGACCGCTTGGGGATATACAGGTTAATTATCATAGTTATTTTTAATTTTATTATACTTACAAAGGAATTTCTCCAGTTTGGAATTTAGCCCCTGCTCCCTGATCGGTCACAATATTGGCCAGTTCACAGTTGCAAAGCCAATTATTGCCAGTCATTCCTAATATCTCCAATTTGTTCCATGGCATTAAGTCTGTGGATAACTCACTGAGGTAGTTGTTATCCAGGTATACCTGTATGAATAAAACATTTTTCAAATTAATATTTATAGAAAACTGTGAAAATGTTGAAACATCTTAGAACATAAAAAATAGATTTTCTGAGGAGATGGAGATGTTTGTTATTCTTTTATGCAAAAACTAATGAATGGATTTAGATGAAATTTGGCATATTGATAGACCATGACCTGCATTAACATATTTTATCTTGGCAGCTCAGGAGAATGTGCTTGTATTAAGTGGTTGTGTTTCATAATAAATGTTAGGATATTTTTTACTATAGAGTATCGTGCGGTAGCAAAGCATTGCTTACGTCAATACTTATTTTTAATTTAAAATGTCGCGATTTCTCTCCTTCTAGGCAAATCACATCCCTACTGTACAATGTTGACTCTAAATAAGGTAGGGCAAACTGATTAATCGGCTTACATAATGCTATGGGAATACCCGTATCAACTGTTTTTGAAAAGTTATGCTTTATCAACCATTATTTATTTGTATCACGTATCTATTTAGAAAATAATAATGGTTGTTTTTCCCCGAAACTAGGCAGTGGTTTACAGTTGACCCACTTTTCGCTAGCGCAAAGCAACACAACAATTATTTCCAAATCGAAGAATCTAAGAATACTCAACTCGATTGAAGTTAAAAACTAGTGCTTAACAGTGGTTCTTAAGGCCGATAGATGTAAATAAGTCAGGCTATCAGTCTGTCCGTCTTAATTAGCGTAATTATGATTGTAATCATAGTCGACAATGTTCCATTTTTTAGGATAAATGTGGCAATGATTGATTGTGTATCAAAACAACACTAAAATGATTAGTAAGCTGACCCCGATCCGCGACTGTCGTGTAAGCACTCAAAAACTGGGGCAAATTGGATTGCATGCATTCTACAAAATGATGATTATGATACGTTTACCGAATTTATGTTAGTAATCATCACGTTTATTTAATAATTCTGATAAACCATGTTACCATGAGCTTATAGAATATATCAGTCACAATAATAGACGGGTGTCGTCATCCCGAGTAGGTACCTAACATTAATCATTATGAGAAAATACATGACGCCCAAACTAGATTTGCTTCGATTAAAATATCAGAATAAATTATTTCCGCTTCGACAATAACTTTATAGCACCGAATTAGCAATGCTCATAAGATATGCGGGATTTTTCGTGCTGATGCTGCTATCTATATCGTAACTTTGGTTGGGACAGTGTTACTCACTTCTTTCAAGGTCCATTGGTCTTTCAATCCGAGGAACGCTTTATGGCTGATGTATCGCAGATTTCGGTTGTGGCAGAGGTGAAGTACCCTCAAGTTCTTGAGTGGGGAGAACGTGCTGCTTTTCACTTCTTCCAAATAATCGTTTTCGCCGACTTCTAATTCGATTAAGTTCGTTAAGCCTGCAAAAAAACTGATTCTATTATTATTATGTACTTCCGTATCAACGAGTAGGCATGTTACATCAACCTGTAATGTACTCTTTAATATAATAGATAAACATCTGAGGCATTTTTTGCTACATACTGTTTATAAGTACTCGATAGTGCTTGATACTTGTTTGGAAGTAGATTATTTTTTTCATAATTCTGTTCAATAAAGTAAACATTCCCGAAATAAACACATTGATAGTTATAAACTTCATGGTATGCTCCACATTTAATGGTTGCCAAATACCAATTCGTTGTAAATTAATAAGCCGATGTTATAAAAACACTTGATTGCGAGATTGAAGTGAAATTCATCGGGATTGATTTGGCACAAAAGTGAAGATAAATAGCGTCGTAAAATCCTTTTTAATTTTGGTATTTCCCGTAACGTGATAACAACAGGTTCCAGTATAATGTTATGTATTGTATCCACTTATGACTCAGCGTCCAGTAGGCACGTAAATGATGATGAGTCCAGTTTCTACGTACACATAAATAAGATAAACATCATTTTGTTAACTTGTTATACTACGATCTAAACCCGTTCTAGAAATTGGTTACGTAGCGTTGTAACAACAAAACAGTATAACATCCTATCTCAATGCCTGATTTTCGATAGACTAATAAATTCGTATACATTTAATTAGTCCTATTTAGGGACAAGCTATTCTCCCAAAACTGCGTTGCTTCTGAAAGCGCTGATTTTCACTGTTCTGAACCGCAAGTTGCAACCATTTAGTTTTTACGAAGCAATACGAACTCTCATGTAGATGGTAAATCTCTGTATTTACCTACGAAACTGTCGTCATTGAGCTGGTTGATAGGATTGTTGTTGAACGTGAGGTACTTGAGGGAGCTTCCGACGAGAATCAGACTCTCCGGCACGGTCACGAACCGGTTGTCAGACAAATCGATTTGCTGCAGTTTCGTTAACCCTTTAAACGCGTCTAGGGGTATGCTATTGATGTCGGTTTTGGCCAAATCCAATACCTAAAATAAAAAAGCATGTATTTTTAGGTGAACGCTGCGGGGGCCCTCAACTAACAATAGTAGGTGATCTTCTCACTTAAAGGTCTTTATGAAAAAAAAACATCTGGGTTTTCGTTTTAAACTTACTTCTTTTGTTAGATATTATAGGTAAATGAATGTTACTGGAATGCAATCTTAGCTAGAAATTGTTCATTGTGCGTAATCTCAGTTATTAATCTTTCATATATTTTAATTAATGATGGCGATATCTTGTATCGTGACTAATACTCATTGTTGTTGACTTTGCAAAGTTCCTTCTCGTAATATACATTTTAATATTCGCCTGACGTCTGGGATGAAGTTGACACAATACTTGAATAACGTGTCTCATCGTAAATCAGTATTTTATAGCTCAAGTAAAAACGAAGAGTTTGATAACCTTGTTTTTATCAGGTAATTTATCAAAAGAAATTGAGTAGTTATCTCAGCTAGTTTGAAATGTTTTCTATACGTTAGTTTCTAGTTTTCAGTTAATCTCTGTCCACGATATTTTTTAGAGCAAGTCAAAAATACACTTCTTGCATTCGTAAACTTTGTTGGTCGATGTTAGTGATATTGATAGTGATCCCCAAATAAATGTAGGCCGCCCTATTTTGCAGGTTTCGTAAGGGGCGATTTAAGAATTTGATTGGTTAGGTAAAAGAGAAACAGATACTCCTAACCCTGGTACATTGAAACGAAGGTAAAGGAAAAAGGATCTCCCTGAATACGTACCCAGGATCTGCCAAAATGATTCGATAGTTTTCTTACCTGTAAATTGATAGCACTGGCTAATGCAAGAAGTGTCACATGGTCGAGGATCTCTATCGGGTTGTTGTTGAGGTAGAGTCGTGTTAAGTTCGGCGTGTACTGGAACAAGTACCGGTCCAAGGAGTGGATGTCGTTGTGACCCAAGTTGAGCGTCTCCAATGCGATGCTGCCGTATACGCCATATTGAGTGCAGTTGGTACATTGGTATTTCCCTCGGAATATCTCACTCCTTAACACTTCACCTGGAACCAAAAGAGTCATATTGCAAGTTACGTTATTACTTCTTAATTTAGTTTTTTTTGTGCAATAGTTATGCTATGCCGTAGTTTTTGCGTCCGTTGTACTTTCTGCTTTGTATTCATTCTGAAGTTGCAATGGCTTATCCGTCCGCCGACTTTCCTAGTGATTCATAGTTTTCACTGTGCCAGAACTGTAGTAACATTTTATTCAATATTTATTAGTTTAGATAAAGTACTTCATCTGTATGTTTGAATGAATGATGAGAGAACATTTGGTCCAAAAGACTACAGTTGGGCAGTCTTGATTCCACGGTGACGCAAAATGTTTAGTTGGAAATAATGACTATTGTAAATCAGTAAACCTATTTGTAAGTACTGCAAGATTCGTAATAATTGATTAATTTCTAGAAAATATACTTTGTTTGCGTTTATGCTAATGATAGTCAATAGTGATATATCGTAGATACTTGTGATTTGAATAGCTTATCATGCGCCAGTAATTGTTTGTACTTTCTAATGAGCTACCAAATCGACAGAATATTTCAGAGATCACCTTCGTACAATACACACTTTCTTCATGTTTATGTATTTATGTTGATGACTTAGATGTATTTTGCGTAGAGAAGACTGTTTGCGATATCTTATTGTACACATATGAATGTTTAGATAAGAGATAAATATTTCATCGTAATGTGTAGATGTAGGTATATTTCCTATTATGCTTATGGTGTAGTGACATTATCAGAAACTTGTTTGTGTAGTTCTCGAGGCGTGTCCTGTATCTTAAATTCATTTGTCGGTTGAACACAAGGAAATCTTTAATTAGAAAATTGTTTCACAAAACTATAATTACGGATCATTGAACCGGGGCCTTTGATTGAACTGTCGATGTCGCTCGAGGATTCGTTTTGTTGTTATGTTCTCTCTAATGATTTTTTGTTGCTCTTGTTTGCACGTTACTTACGACTACGTGTGTGTTCCGATTACACTTTGTTGTTTAATACTTAGTGCATTTGAATGCGATATCAATACACGTATATAGCTTACTATATTCATAACAATAGATGAGAATTCGCTTTATTCTCTTAGTGGACTGTATTGCTTCATATTTATGGTAAATCCGATCAGAGTTAAATGTCAGAATTATCTTCACAAGCGAGTAATTTATATCGTAAAGATTTAAAGGTGCTATAAATGACACGATCTTTGTTAGTAATGAGTTCAATGAGACAATGCGCATTAACATGTTATTTGCTTTAGTCCGAATTACGTCAGTTCACCCAAAAGTGTTGTTCTTCTATTCTAGCTGTTATCATGCGGAACCGACAACTTAATATGCACTTAGAAACACGGAGAACGACTCCCCTATACATATTGTCTTAGTCAAGGCTATTGTTAGATGGTGTTTACGACATTTTTGTGAATCAAAGTGTTGCAACGTAGCGTTCTTCGGCGAAACCATATAAATAAATGTACCGCTGCCGGTGACTAACATTATGAAAGATGTTGAGTGTACGCTCAACGCTCATATCTGTGGAGAATGTGAAAGATAATAAAACGTTAACTATATTAGCAATATTATTGCGTTCACTTATTTCGTATACTATAAGCACGGAGCTAATTCGTTGTTGGCCGTTTGAAATATGGATAAATTAAAAAACAAAAAAAAAATGTGATTCATGAATGGGTTTCCAATCTAGATGTATTATGTATATCACGCCATGTTTGAGGTACATTTAGCGGAATTCATTCACCTTTATAATGGAAAGTTTGAAATCATAGACGTAATGGCAACGTCAACACTTGCTAAATGTTGTTTATATATCTATGGGAGATATTTGTAGAGGATTTAGATCATCTTTATTCAGTGTTTGTGTAAGAATAACGAGGAGACATGGGGCGCTTCTGTTTTATGTTATTAAGGCTGAAAGATAACGAATAGCCAAACAGAATCTTAGCAAATATTTATTAGCAGTGTGGGTTGACAAATTGCAAAAATATTGGCTTTAGAAGTGACTGTTAGTGCACTTGACTTGTTCCTAATGTCAGGTGATTGCAGTAATCGAATGTAGCTAACGCGTAACTTAAGTAGTACATTTGGTTCACGTCTGTTTTGTATAAGTTTTATTAATACTTTTGTTTGCCTTACTTGTGAACATAAATATCTGACCCAGATAAGTGTTTTCTGATCAATAATCACGTATTACGTATCTCGCTTCCATACGTTGGCGTTGATAGCTTAACGGTCAGTATTGACCAGTTAGTGGACCATCAAGGCCCAAAATAACAGTAAGTTGAAATATTTGATTTATGATTTTAGTGGAATTTATGGCAATTTGTTGTTGATATTTGATAGTCTCGTGACTGTGAGTGTGTATGAGTTTACTTGAATACTGATCGCCTATCGCAGCTATAGTTTATCTGTTATTTAATTTAAAAGTAAATAATAAACATACCAGAGATATAATTGTTGCTGAGATCGAGGTATACCAATCTCTCGATGTTGCTGAATGCATCATCCTCGATGTCAACGATCTCGTTCGACTTGAAGCTGATGGCGACCTTCTTGCCGGGTACTGCTGGTATTTGCGACACGTTCGAAATTGTATTGTTGAAAAACGTTATCAACACATGCCCATCTGGAATTCATGAAATTTCCATTATAACATCTATTTTCCAAACAAAAATATTCACATATTTTCTATCATGTTAATAACGGTTATAGTCCTGTTAATACTTCATCAATATTCATAAAACCAAATAGGTATTATCATAAAACCTAATCCATTCCACCCACGGTAAACTTCACTGCATCGATAAACGTACGCACGGAACGTATGCATGATTTTCAGAATGTATTATGAATAATTTATTATAACACTAAAACTTGATCAGATGTTGATCAACCGATAGTTATTTATAGGGAACTTTGTCTTCAATATAAAACTTGATTGATTTGCAGCTATTTGTTTTGTTTATGCCATACTCCGCGATAATGTACGATGATTAATGATCCCATCACTCTCCCTCAAAGTCGCCGTCGTTACCTTTGTCTACGCTGTTCAATGTTTCTGGCCATTTTTCTGGAATCTCATCAATGTTGCGGCGCGAACAGTTTAGTGTGAGATTGGATGAGTCTTGTATAGTAATATCACATGGAACGTTTTCCGCGTCGGCCTCTAGTGCGTGGCTCGACGAAACTAGGACGCATAATATCATTAACACCTACAACAAAGAAACACCATTACTTATATAATGTATAAGGTACACAAACAACGATCGTCTCTGTTTTCTATCTCGGCCACTACAGTCACTCACTTTGCATAGCGCTTGGAAGTACATTTTCACCAAAATTAGAAAGGACACTGGAGTACACCTTCGGATCACAATATATTTTATCTTATCAGTTAGGAGCCGACTGATATCACGAGTGACACGAAGTGAGCGAGCTTCTCATTGGTCGATGTTTGTTTGTGCTATCATTCTTCTAATATGTATGAGCACCGTTTGATTCCCAAACATTGTCTTTTATTTTAGGAAGTCCTGAACATAACGGCGGCAAAATTAGAAGAAATAATCAAGCCACTGAGCGACACCGATTACGAGGATGATTTAAAACACAAATATGCAGAGATCGGCTCTCCAGACTCGACTGAGGAGATGAAGAATTTGGAGAGCCGGCAAGCGGCGGTCACACTACTACAAATAAAAAATTACGACCCAAGTAAATATGTGGTCAAACAAGAAGAGGAGCCTCATATAATGTTCAACAGCGTACAGAGTTTACCGCCCTCTGACAGAGCGAGAGAGGTGATGCACTGCAACTCCGTCATCGATATTATAAACAAGGCTGTGGCGGTGGCTCGGGAAACCGATGAGTCTCCAAAATACGCACAGAACTACACGGGAGTCATAGACAGGACACACGCGGCCGGCGCGGCCGAGTACCAGCACGAGTACCCGGACGAGCAGTATGCGTACAGCGCGTCTCAGCACGCTGCCAGCCCCACGAGCAACGACGACCATGACAACAAAGAGATGGACCTCTCCCTATACAGTTCTGTCAAAAACGAGCCCAATGACCCGACTGACCAGCAGGACAGAGAACACTCGAACACTTACTTCCACGGCGCCCTCGCACACAAAACAAACTTCGTTGATGAGTACAAGCAACATATCTTTGGTCGAAACAAAATGAAAACGTCAAAAGAAAATTCGTCGGTATATGAAGATTGTAGTCGGAGTAGTAGTGGGTCAGATCCAGACAGGCTTCAGATGGACATATCTCAGATGTCGCAGGTGAGCTCCTTGCAATTAATATCTGCGGCATGTTTTACGAAGGAAGGTCAACCAGGTATTCTGCCGTCCACAATAGAAAACGAGAGATAACGAACAAGGTTGGGATGACGTCAATGCTTCCAGCGACATTGACTGATATTTTTGCAACCTTTTTGGCCTCTAAATGTGACTAAGCTTTGCGAATTGCAACTATTTTGGGTCCCAGTCCCGAAAGTTTGTCAAACCAATTTATTTTTCTTAATTGTGGATCAAGATGGAATATTTGTTCCTTTCTTTCATGAAATCCAAACCCTGCTGTTCACGTAAATTAAAATGTATGTTGTGACGATTACAGGACGACCCTGAGGAGACGCAATCAGCACGATCGACCCAGTCTTCGCCGCAACCCGCTATGGAACACGAACAAGATAAGGAATCCCTCTGGCAGGCCCTACATAGACAAAACGGTGAGATCATTACAACAAATAGATATCAATAGACAGCACATCCAACTACTCTAATCTGACAAAAATCTTCAGTACAATTCCAACTTTATTACTAAAGCATAAAGTTCATAATGCACGATTTGTATTAATAGATTCACGCCAGACGTAACTAGTTTAGTTGGTTTACTTATAATTATTATTTAATAGAGAGAAAAATAAGAATTACATACCAGTTCACCACTGGTTTGGTCTATGTTGAAACTTATCTCTTCAGTATAACTTGTTCAGTATTCAATAGTACAGAGTGATACATGTTACAATAAGATAAAAATGTAGACTAGATTATCATAACGTAATGACACTCCTTATATTTAAAGGTCAAGGAGAAGTCATTGGACGATTTGTTCCCTTCAAAAATATCCCTTATATTTCTCAAAAGCATAGACAGTGCATATGTCGCGGAGAACCTAACGGGTAACCGGGGCTCCGGCTCGACGTGCAGGGGAAGGAACGGGGTGGTTTTTGGTCAATAAGAGTCTGACACTCCCTCCCGCCTCACCCAGGCGGGAGCAGTCATTCGATGATTTTGCCCCCTTAAAAAAAAAGACTGCATAATTATATTTAAAGTCACACCCACTTTTTGAAATTGGAAATCAAGTTGAGTCTCACGTAAAAGAGAAAATGAAAATAGACTGGTTGGAATGTCACTAATCTTTTTTATCTGCAAATTTTCATTTAGCATGATTAAGCCTTTGACTGCCGACTCAAAACTGTTGAATCCTCCGCTAACGTAGGTCACCGGTCACCTACGCGGCGGTTAACGTGTTAATCTGTAAGACCTATTAATTTGACGTTTGTAGTAGTAGTACCCTTTCAAATATTCAATGATGTTTTTCACTTTGTGCCCGACATTGATCTTTCGCACTTTTACTCCGCTATTTACATACTAATATTACTTATACCAATATAATAGTGAAGAATATGTAAATGGCTAACGACCTGTAATACACTTCAAACTAGTTCTTAAAACTTACAGACAAGGCTCATTTTCCTTTACATGAAGTTGAAAATCTCGTATAATGATTGCATTATAATAATATTACACTCGTAATAACATAATGTACATTATTTCATTTCTTTAAATTTAGAACACGCGCGCATTTGTTTTTTTTTTGTTTTTTACGGAACGTAACCGTGATACCTACCTAAAGAGGTCCGGTTTCGAAGACCTACTTCATTAATAAAGGTTTATCATGTTATTGCAAGGTTTTGAATAAATAAATTAATGTTTCAATTCAATTAAAATCCAAGTTATTTTTTGGTTATGATTTTGTTGACTTGAACCACCATAATTACTCTTATTCCTTACAAAATAAAGATTAGAAATTAGTGGGATTCCAAAGGATTTGGGTAAATAAATAATCCAATAAAGTTGTGAGAAATACTTAAATTACGCCTATCGTTCGCTTGTAACTAATGCAATAAATAAATAAATTATCTTTATTTAGAAATGTAAATGGACACGGATATAAAAATATTACTTGGGTAAGAAAAATAGATCTCACATGGTTAGGTGTACTAGGATAATCCTGTGTCACCTAGGCGAAAGTAGCTCCATTGAGCCCATTTTAACGGTACATGGCGCATACGCTCACTTCGTATAGCCGGACTCACAACCGATCTCCAAACTTTATACTATTCACCACGACATAAGTCCCAATAAATTATTATGTTTTCGGCTTACTCACGTAATAATTTGACGAAGAAGAGTAGCAGCGCGACAGTCGCCGCGTCGCGGGTCGCGAAATGCTGCTCATGAATATGAGTACAATAACAATACATGAGTACAATCAATTACAGGACGTAGCGGAGAAGCGACACAGCTACTACGACGACTAATCAACAGCAAGCAGCTTGGCATGACAGTATCCCCACTGAGGACGCCGGCCTCACCACTATCCTCAACTGTACAACAACCCATCAATGGCTCAGTCTCACCGGTCAGTACATCTTTATTGATATAGACTAACTTCTGCCAGCAGCTTGACACGAAAGTATCCTCACTAAGCCTCACCACTATCCTCCACTCTACAACAACCCATCAATGGCTTAGTCTATCCGGACAAAAAAATTTTTTTAAAATAATTATCGTCAGATATACTAAATTAAGTAAAAATCGCGGGTTACTCACGTGAATATACTGAGAAAAGCTCTACTAGTAGGCTGCGCGCACGCTGCTCATGAGGAAGAACCCCTCTGTGGTTCGAAACTAGTAGAGCTTTTCTCAGTACATTCACGTGAGTAACTAGAGTGACTAACTTCAGCTAGCAGCTTGGCATAACAGTAAACACAAAGGATTTAACATGGAACGATAGCTATCTACCCTCCGAAGTTAATCTGCAGCTTAATAATTATAATCTTGCAAACTGCACTGTCTAATTGTTTTTGGGATTCGGATTAGACGTAAGTTAATCATGGATATATCATGGATTTTCGTATGACCGATATGACCGTATGAACTTGATTAATGATAACAAAGGGATTTTTAACATTAAACGTGTAATTAGTGCTATAAAAAATGTTAAATCAAGGAATAACGAACGATAAGAAAATGACTTCAAAATATTAATCACAATTTTATTTATAATTTCAAAAATTCTGGAAAATTCGATGATTTGATTAAATTAAGCACCAATTAAAATTATTATTCATTAATATTCTACTTAAGACCTATTTTTATACGTAAATAGATAACAGAGATGTGTATCTATCTAGTATCTATGTAGGTACTACAAATGTATTTAATGATACGTTGATATGGAGTTGTACTCCGCGAAATAGTTTATCTTGTCAATAGTTGAATGCTTCAGATAAAGGCGATGCGGGTAAACAAACTGATAGGAATTGAAAATTAATCTATATTATTAAAATACAATAACATCTGGCCTGTTATTCCCCGAAAACGTATATTCGTTATCTATTTTTGACGAAAATAACTAACGAATAACAACACCACACCTTTAATTGTTAAGTGCGAACAGAATATGACACCCACTTTAATACAGGATTTTTAAAGGGGGAGAATCATCTAATGACTCCCCTACCTTTTGGTGAGGCGAGAGGGAGTGTCATACTCTTACTGACTAAAAACTACTCCGTTTCGAGCCGGAACCTAGGTAACCCGTTAAGTCTTCCGTGGCTCCGTATCGCTCTATTATTATATTTTTTCTTTATATTATTTTACTATATTTATCTTTTTTTTTTGAGGGGGAGATATGATATTCCTACTTTGTTATGTTGAGGATATCGGATATCGACCTGAACTTATTCAAGCAGGTATAAATTTATTATTTAATACTTTTTTGTTACCTTTATTGATTGGTATTTTTATATAAATAATGAAATAAAATGTATAATTATTTACTTTTAAATTAAAATATTTTTTACGAATTATAACTATATTTCTAATATATATTAGCTTTCGACGATTACATACTCCGTGCTTTGACTGAGAATTTAAAAAATAAAATACTCAGTCAATCCTTGTTTGTCAAATGAAGGATATATGTAGTTGCTGTGGAATCAACAGACACATTGTGTTACATTTAAAGTAAGTTAAGTAATAGATAATGCACACTTCTTCGTAATTTCCTTAAACAACTTACTACCGTTTACTTTCAGTATTTTATGTGTGAATACTCGCTATAAAATTATATTATGTCGAACGAATAAGGAAATATTCGCTGTATACGTGTTCCGCATTAAAGTTCGTTTATTACCACTAGTCATGCACGTGGCTAAGTGATATACATAAGTATAAAATATCTTTGTGTCTGAGCTCTCTTCAAAATTATCTTATATTGTCTATTCGCGTTAAACGCAAAAAATACGAATCTTTCTATATGCGATTTTTGGCAATCATTAAACAGGTCCTTCAGAAAGTTTTAAGTGAAATTCAAAGATATAAGTACCACGCTAATAATATAAAAACCTTTTTTTATGTTATGTATCTCGCGAGTCAGTAAACAGTATGATGTGAGTCGTGTTATGTTAGTTTCTGTCCAAATGGCAACGTGCGTCCCTTCATTCGTAAGGACTACGTATTACGTAGGAGCTAGAGCTGAAGATCCTAGGCAGGGGAGCTGAATCTTCAGCTCTTCAGTTTCAATCACTGCCCCTCACTTCGCGCGGATATTTTTATGAGACACAAACACCACACCACAAACGAATAGGCGAATCTCCTAACGGTAAGCATAAGCACCATCCATGAATACCAGCTACAACAAGCCGGCGTTTTGGGGTTTTGGGAGGGGAGGGTTTTTTTATGGCATAAGCCGGTAAACGAGCATACGAATCACCTGATGGTAAGCAATCGGAGTCGCCCATGGACACTTGGAACACCAGAGGCGTTACAAATGCGTCACCGGCTTTTTGGGGATTAGGAGTTTGAGGATCGTTGGGAATTTAGGGATTGGGGAGATTGGGGAAGGGGAAGGGGAAGGTAATTGGGCCTCCGGTAACATCACTCACACGACGAAACACAACGCAAGCGTTGCTTCACGTCTGTTTTCTGTGAGGCCGTGGTATCACTCCGGTCGAGCCGGCCCATTCGTGCCGAAGCATGGCTCTCCCACACTTAAAATTTGTTGGTCCGGTAACCTCATTCACACGATATAGTTACTCCACCTAGCTTCAATATTCGCTTTGTCTTATCTGTCCTAGCTAATTTGGCCTACTGCCAAGGATAGGTGCGCTTGAATGTAACTATCCGGTCATGCGCTTATGATCTGGTTCTCAAACTAAACTCTATGACTAATTTCTGATTTTAAATAAGGACCGTATGACCGGCTTTTGTATAAGATATTAGCTGTTGCCCGCGACTTCGTCCGTGTAGAATAATGATTTCTGGCAGAATTCATCAGAATCTATTCAGCGCCTAAGTGAGATTTATTCTGAAATAAATTTATCGTGATTTCAAAAAATCAATAATCCCGCGGGGATTTTACCAGTGCCCCTTCTCGGTTTCAGTGATAAAAAATATTCTATCGACTATTGTTGTACCGAATCTCTATAAAATAAGTTCAGTGGTTAAGATATAGAGACTCTCGGGGCTTTAACGCAGGCATCCACGTCACAACATCTATCTGCATTCCAAATTTCAGCCATATCCGTCCAGTGGTTTGGGCTGTGCGTTGATAGATCACTATGTCAGTCAGCCAGTCAGTCAGTGACCTATGAATTATATATAATATATAGATTGATCTTCTCATCTTTGCTTGTAAATATACTATCATTCTGTTTTTCATTTTAACTCGTCAAATACCGTCATTATAGACACAATAGGCATGGCGACTATTTTTTAATTTTTTGTCCGTCTTTTAGATATTTTAAAAATCTTCGATACGTATTTTTTCTTTTTTCTCGTATCCAAAAAAACATGTAGATATTTTGAGTTAAAATGCGCGTGACGTCACACTTAGGTACGATTTCTCCGTAAGTGTGACGTCAACACCCCCCACTCCCTAACTTTAATGCGGAATAACTACGTATTCTTCTGTTAATTTGATAAAACAAAAAATACGTGTCTGATATTTTCGTGCGATCTTAATGACGGACTAATTACTTTTTTGATTTTTTTACCCTGTCGACACGCCTATTATAGAACAATAGGTTGCGGTCACCGGTGACCGCTTGGTGTTTGACAGTTTAATTTCTGTTTGGTAAAAAATGTTGCCCCACTAGTAAGTGACACCATAAAGGTGCGGCCATACTCTCACTCTCTTTCTCATTCTATTTAGTGACTATCAGTGGCGTGCAGTCCATATAGGCAAAAAGGCTTTGCTTGACATAAAATGTACAAACGCGTTTATTAAGATTCAATAATAAAATAAAAGTTTGTAAAAAAACGGCTAACATAAATATACATTCACATATACTATACACGGACCGCACGCCTTTGTAAAGCAATGAATGCGCCCCGCACGCACCACGCATGCGCTACTATTCCTTAAATCTTGGTTGTTGGTTGGGACGTCACAAAAAGTATGCAACGCGCATGCGTGAAGGTCACGTGACTATGGTCACAGCAGAGAATAACCATTCATAAACGCAAAAAAGTCATTGCTGCCGGCCTTTGAAATTTATGAATCTGCGCCATCTATTGAATTTTTTGTTAAAACTTCTGAACACGTTCGATATAATGCGAATGTCTTTTTATAATTATGCATACTAAAAAAATATGTTTCAGGTATTTTAATTAAATCTTAACATTTTTACGCGTTGTCGGTTTATAGAAACTTTAAACGAGGAGTTGACTTTATTATTTTAAAAGTTAAAAGGAATAACTTTTGAGTAGCGGCAACTTGACGTTTTGATAACTCAAAGTTTCAAATTGTTATCAACGAATGTTTCTTATTGGAAAATAATAATAAGACAATGACGGAACTCCATTTGACTTATGTAAATTAACGTTTTGTTTTTTTATAATTAAACACTGGGTTGCCTTAATGTTATAGCTATAATTTTTTTATAATAAACACTCAATTGACTACGATGGGTTCATTCATTCCAATGTTTTCGGCCATATTGTTTTCATGTGATGTGCGATCGCTTTGTTTATGTTTTCGTTTAAATTATAAGGAATTAGTTTTAAACATAAAGTTGCATAAATATGTGTAGAAGTAGTTAAATGTATGTGTAGGTTTTTCAAATAGTGTATTTGTTTATCAGTGTCTAGTACAAGTACCTATATTATTCGATTGTGAAGTTTGTGTTGATAATAGATAATTTTTTGTGTTTGTTGAAAGTTAAAAACAGTAAGTTTTCGCAAAAATGTGTCCTACAACGACTAGATTCAGGTAATGACCATAGGCAGTACTCAAGTTACGAGAATTGACCCAAGTCAAAGGTAGGTAATGTAAATATTATGTACTTTAATGGATCTTTTATTGATTTTCTTGTTTGATAATTCTTAAAAATATCAACTTAGACTTCGGGTTGTACTGATTTACATATTAATTTATTATTAATAATTATGTAATGTAATAACAAATGTACCGCTTATAAATACTCGGCTCGGCCACAGCCGGCCGCGCTTGTTATTGTTTTGTTTGTTGGTAGGTACCTACGTTCTTAAATTCGTAATATATTATGATTTTGAATAGATTATCTAGCAATTCGATAATTGAATTTGGTTCATCAAATTTATGCTTCATTATTAGTATAATTAATAGATGTTCAATTATTTGTAAGTTTTGTTGGCTTATTCCATAGCTGATGAAGTAGTTCACAAAAAATACGCGAGATGTCAGTGTATGTAATTTGGCGACAGAATAAACCACAATATTCTTGAACGCACTTTTCAAAATGTATTCTGTACATGTAGGTACCTGTCTTGTGTGAGTATGATTGTCATTGTATGACCGGGGGGGAGGGGTTTAATCATACGATATTTAATTGCCTACCCTGTCTCGAAAACCTGTGCACGCCACTGGTGACTATCGAATGAAATTTAAATTATAGAAGCTCATTGTAATTAGATTTGTTTACAAACAACATGCATCTAATTTGTAGCACCTATACTTTAAATGTAACTCAAACAGGTAAAAAAATACAATGTATTGACTTACGTCATCGCGTCACCAAAATGATCCGACATAGATTTCTTATCAATTTATCAAGTCTGCATTACTTGTTAGTTGTTACACTGATAATGTAATATTTAATTAGTGCATATTGAGTGTCTATGTATTGGTAGATGATAAGAGAATGCTACTAACTTATGACGATGATTATTATTATTATTGCGAGCTCCCCAAATGATGGCGCAATTAAGGATTATATGGGCGCAGAGTAATCGTGGTAGTGTTGCTGTATTAAGGGTTCAATGACCGTTCATTATATTTATCGCCCGTTCGCTTTTTAATTACATATACCTGCTGAATATATTTAAAAATGTCATTTATAATAGCAAGCAATAAATCAACAATATTACAATGGTATGTAAAATACTAACGACAAGTAATTTAATTATATTACTCTGAAATTATAAAGAAATTGGCATTGAATTTGTCTCACAAACAATAAAATAATAATAATCAACTTTTATGGACCTGCATCACGTTGCGCTGCAGTCGATTGTCCAGACGCTACGTCAACAAAAGAGTCTACATACAAGTACTCTGATAGTACGTAAATAAAGATATTTCTTTATAACCTAAGTTTTAAAAAAGCGATTTTCCCACCTTAAAAAAAAAGTTTAAAAAAGCGATCTCAAAGTTTCAAGAAAGAGGCTTCTTGAAGCCGAGTGTTCGCAAGTGCGACTGCCGGGCAAGGGGTCTCGGGTTCGATTCCCAGGTCGGGCAAAGTATTAGGTACTGGGTTTTTAAAAAAATCTCTGTAGTAGCACGGAGTCTGAAATTGTGCCCGATATATGGCAATAGGCTCACTCCCTATTACATGGGACCCATAACATAAATAGTTAAAAGTGCGTGTTACATTGTACAGTGGCATAATGTGAACCTCTGGCTACCCCTTCGGGGATAAAAGGCGTGATGTTATATGTATGTAATTATAACGCAACTTACCTTCATGGTATGCTCTCACCAGACGAACGTCAGACGAAATCCAAATACACAGCCTTCCAAGCAGATGGTAGATCACAACAGTACGTTAATTACACAAGTTATGAACACTGATGGGCGCTCCATATCTTTGTCATTACCATTACCGAAACTGGTTTTATAATTATTATTTAACAGTACAATTTCAATATTCATATATAACGGTGCAGTACGAAGTAACTTCCTAGTCAATAAATTATTATGTTTTCGGCTTAATCGCAGTAATTATTTGAAGAGGTAGTATCAGCGCGACCGTCGCCGCGTCGCGGGTTGCGAAATGCTGCTCATGAATATGAGCCTCTAGCATGGCTTGAAACTGGTCGAGTTCCTCGTCAAATAATTGCATTTGTAAGACGAAAACATAATACAATTATTTAGTATGTCTCACGAAAGTTATAATACAAACTTCTTAGTCTTTATAGATTAATGATTTTTTTTTTTATTAATGTGAATCTTTTTAAACGGACCACCATTGCACATAAAGAAAATACAAGTTATACGTCTGTTGTTTACCACGAAACTGAGAATACAGAATAAGTTCATATTATTATGAAGTAGGACACATGACAGCACGAATTTACTTCTTTATGTTCATCTTTAATGTTATGTTAATGGACATTTATGATGTACAATACATTTTCCTTGTCTACTTTAAGTAATGTTCGTATTGTTGTATCTGTATGACTTATGTAGCTGTTGTATGTGTTATCTTCGCTAGATGTTCGCGGCAAGATAGATGTGTGCCTCTATGAAATGCACTTATCCATCTTTTGTGTATACAATACAGAACAATAGCTAGGATTTAGCGGTTACTGAATTATTTGTCGAGATCCAGGATATTTTGTTTTTTTGCCATCGGCTAAGTGTTATGGTAACAGAAACCGAGAAAATTTTTAGTTGAGGAAAAATTTTTTTATCCTGTATGCCTCGTTGGCAATCGCTTCGTTTTTAACGTTTATTTCATAGGACTGGCGAAAGGTTAATGTCTAATTTGATATTGTGTATGCCTTATGGAAATTCCCAACATAGTATTAAATGTTGTCTTCGGTTACAGAATGGCGAATGGACAAGTTCAGGTCGCGGTTCGAGTGTGGCCGGCACTGCACGAAGAAAACAAAGTTTCCCAGCACGAGCACAACCTATTATGGCCGTGGACCCGCCCGCCACGAACGCGCAATGGCCACAAACAGTATCTGAAAATGTAAGCTATACGAAACGACGATAATAATAATATCTTTATTAAATATACTTCACATGACCGAATACAAATAAATGAACACGTATAAAGTTGCATAATGCACCAGGTTAGTGTGCCGTGTAATATATCTATCGTAATAATGTAACCCTGCCTTCAGAACTAGCGGTCTAACCTCCTGAACTAGGTAAATGTTCAATCTTAAAGTACATATTAGTCCTTTTTGTAGTGAAGCAAGAAGAGTGTCTTCTAATTGGGAACATCTTTAAGGGGGGAGACCTTCATTAAACATCGGACCCCTGATGCCATACCTTAATGATAGTAATGAAGACAAATGTTTTTTATTTTCAGCAGGAACCACCAGAAGGGTCATCGACTCCTGGGGGAGCAGGATCAGGTCGGTCGGGGCCGCGCGTGGAGCTATCGTGCAGTAACTGCGGCACGCACACCACCACGATCTGGCGACGCGACGCGCGCGGGGAGATGGTCTGCAACGCCTGCGGCCTGTACTTCAAGCTGCACGGCGTGCCGCGCCCCACCGCCATGCGCCGCGACACCATCCACACGCGCCGCCGCCGGCCGCGCCACGACGGCAAGCATACTAAGAGTAGTGAGTACCTATAATGTCTGTATCTTCTAAAATATCTTAAGACTCTTGTCCCGCCATAGATGTATTCTGATTAGTGGTGATGCTGTTTCATCTTATTTATTATTCCACATTGAGTTTAACTCATAGACCAGCCTGTCAATCACGTGCTAACGTTAGTAGAGGTAAGGTGGGGTGGAGCGGGGTGATTCAAGTGAAATACACCATCGCTTCATAGGTTTAAGTTTCATTTTTAACTCGGCAGTGAAGTCGGAGTGGTGTTGAAAGTAGAAATTGTTGCAGAATCTCGTCGTAGCGGCGGCAGCGGGGGCGGCGCGGCGGGCGAGGCGGGCGAGGGCGCGGGCAGCGGCGGCGAGGGCGCCGAGGAGGCCGTGCTGCAGGCGCTGCGCCGCCAGCTGCAGCCGCATCTACTGGCCGCGCTGCACGCGCGCACCGCGCGGCCCTCGCACCACGACCAGGTACTCACTCGACTACCACATACATTAATATCAAAAACATTAACCGCTAATGTCCCTTAAAACAGAGTCAAGCTAAAATCGTAAAAAAATCACAGGTGGGTATAAGCGCCCCGGACTACGACGAGGCGCCCCTGAATCTGGTCGCCAGCCACGTCGCCGCCGCCGAAGAGACTCACTGACTGCCCTCTGTGATACACTCGCTACGGACGCCATAGCCCCGGCGACACGTTTCACCCACACATTGTTCCCTTACAGCATCGCGTGTATGTTCCATATCGACAGCTTCTCTACAAACTTACAATGTTCCTATGAATGTTGGACACAAGCACGGCACGCTAATAACACTTGTGACTAACAATCACAGAAACATTCGCTCGAAAAGCAATATAAAATTAATAGAGTATAAGTATACATGCAATAATAACATTCTTCATATAATATAGTACTAAATATCTATTTAGTGATAGTTCAGGCCAGTGTATGATGACAATAGTGGGGAATATATATATTAAAATGTTTATCCCTTTCATCCGGTCGTAATAGAATAAAATGTGAATTATTTTTATAGAAGATCATACATTTTTTCATAATAGAATCTCACGTAGCACTCAATGATGGTTTCGCTTCTTCCATATTATTATATAAAACGACCGGTTGAAATGTGGAGTGGCATATTAGAGCGTTTAGGATGGGTGAAAGATTGTCGACAACGTTATTTCATATTACACAAGGTTGTATATGTATTAACTACCACATTTCTGTTCCGTAGTCGACAATATTTTGTCCAGTACCTAATCAATAGGAATACGATTAAAAATATACAAAACCAGGGCATTACGCATAATTTCGTGATTTGGTCGCGGGAAACAATATACATTGATTGTATTAGTGCCTACTTAACGTATAGGGATGAAAATGGTACCACAGTGTACGGTTCACGTAAGAGTACTTTCCGTGTGTACATTATTCTTAACTTGTGATATGTATGATTGTTGGTCATGCATGAGTAAGCATCGTGCAGTTTGTGATGGCAGCTCGGAGTGACGATACTTCCAGCAGTCGTATGTAATAAAGTATTCGGGTTTGTTCGGTCAAATTTCGCAGCCTCGGACAGACGCCAATTGCGATCTGTAATTATAAATCTCAAAAAGATAATGACACTATGATATCGGGTTTTATTATAGTAAGCCTTGCCTTAGAATGCTCTCTTTGATATTATTGAAATTATATTTACGGTTACCTATTGCAGGACGCAAGTATTCTTTTAGTTATAGGTCATATTGTAAATTTTATTGTTTACGTAGTAGTTGTAATGCTTAAATTCAGTAAATTATAAGTGTCTAATTTATTTCCCATTTCGGTCAGTATTTACAATGTAAGTATTTTTTTCTGTCGAGTATTTTTTTTTTTAGATAAGGTAACAAAATGAAAAGAAGCAATAATAACAAGCAAAATGATTCTGGAAATATATAAAGTCCAGGGCACATTAATACCGTAGGGTTGGTAAATAATAATAAATATATAGAATTATAAAATTACTTTTGGATTTATATAAAGTATTTAATAAACATCTTTTATTTACCACGCTTCAACATTGCCTGCTTGAATTTTAGCAAATTCCTAATGTATAAACTCTCGATCATAAATAGTTCACTAATCTGTGGTGTACTTACAATAGTATACATTCTCATTAACATAGTAATTATGATGATGTTGCCTTTATATATTACTAATGAACAGTAAACACCTGTAACTTTGGCATTATTAAAATAGATATATTGTACGTCATAACATAAGGAAAACAATTATTTTAAGAATTATATTTTCAATCCATTTATTATATTGGGCATTTGTGGTCGTTAAGCGTTAGAACAAACCATTTAAAAGAAACGTTGTGGCATTATATTTGAGTTAAAATCTACCGGATTCACCTCATGATGGTCAGTGTTATGTGTTTATTTATAACAGAAAGCATTTACGTTATCTGTACCTTGAACTGGGCTGTTTTGTTATTGCTTCCATTCGACTTATTTAGCTGTGAACTCCGTCACCGTCCTTTACTTGACGTCTCTACTTAATTTAGTGTTAGTTCGTTTAATTATCGAAACCCCACGGGCCAGTAAAATACAGCAGTCTATGAGACATTGTGATATACTTAGCTAGACAACCTCCGCTGTAACGTAGCTGAGGCATCTGAACGTGTGATTCTGTTGCAGCTAACCTTCAACGTTTCGTCAAGCTTATCGTATTTAAAAGCTTTAAAAATTGAGATTATTTATTCATTCTTATTGGGATCACTATATAGTTGTCGGTGTAGTGTACCGTTAGTATTGCCTACGCCTAGTTTGTGTCGGAGTAGCTGTCTACCTTGACAATAATGGTTCATTCATACTCTTGATGAAACCGTAATGTACGTAAAACTAAAAGTGTTTTGCTCTCTATTAATTTTAGCTCTCTCTACGATGATATTAAAATTTAAATTCAATTTACCCATTTTGATCTTGATATAGGAACTAGGTCGTGTTTATTTTTCTAAGAGTATATCTATGACCGAATATTATATGTCGAATATTTTTTTAAATTGTCGTTAGAAGTGACGTTGTGGTCAGAAATTTATAATAACCTACTTATTTAGCTGTGAATAATTATAAACAGAATAAACAGTAGACTATCTTGATTTATATAAAAATTAAACAATATTCACAGTATCAATTCTGTGCTGGTTTACAAAGAATAAGTGGGTCATTTGTTTAGTCCAAACTGATTGTTATGGAATGCATCTCAGTGTGAAGGATTGTCACTTTGAATACTAGCCTGCTAGTGTAATTTGGACATCATAGGACAGTTCTAAATCTCCACTAATATTGCTGATTGCAGTAATGATACAGTATTATTTTATTGAAATCTACTCTGTACATTTGTGTTAGGTTTATTATTTTTGTATTTTTATTAGGTTTTATCTAGTTTGACTTCCGAATTTAACTCGTTTACTATAATTGTCGGTGGTAGTGGAATATTTGATTAAATATTTTCGCTTAAACATCGTCGTCTACTTACATATTTCATTCGTTTTGTGTTTCTCTATGTCTCAGTCGACACATACAGCAGGATACAACTTCGATAGATCTTCCAATTTGGTTATTTATTACGTTAGGTTAATTTATGGATATATCGGTATTAAGAGTTGATGAACAATGTATATCGTCATTTAGTTACTAACGAACCGGTTGTGTTGTGTGTGCTTACGCTCTAACAAGCATGTGTTTGTGATTTTGTTTTTATTATCACGTCTGACAGAGGCGCAGACAGTACCAATACTGTTGTGTATTATTATAATTTATGCTGGAATATGGGCTTCGTATTCATATCCTAGGAATTCCATTCGACATTGTATGTAACGTCATTTTTCGAAGATTTAAGACTGACAAGAACTCTCATGAATGTCTTCTGTTTTTGTATTCACTCCCACGTTATATTTCGCTCGAGTTACGTATTCGAAAAATGATAATGTAAAAGTATTTTTATTCATTGTGATATATTTTGTTGGAGAATGTAGTAGATGTGTGTATCCGAAAAGCAATAACATTGTGATAAGTGGTGATGAACATTGTATGTAAAACTGAACAGTAATATCTGAATAATATAGAATGAATATTGTCAATTATATATCGTGTGCGCTGGAGACTGGAGCTCAGTCTATTATAGTAATACTATCGTAGGTGTTATGATAGCAAACAAGTAACGAAAGCAATAGACCTGTTGGTCACAGAGCCTTATAATCCAAATTAAATATTATTCTAATAGTAATTGTAATTAAGAAATGTATGTTGTATTTACCTAGGTACCGTGAGCCCAGTTGTCCAGCGACAAACTTTAAAACCGATAAACTCGTCTTTTAATGTCAAATTTCAACTCGATGCAGCAGATGTAAATTATTCTGCTGGTAATTTCTTCGTAAAGACGTATTTATAATATTATGATATTAACATAAAGCAATAATTTCCAATATAGAAAGCTTTGAAGGACCATTTGTTATTGTTGTTGTCAAATTACATAACTGTACGTATTTATAGTAAGTTTCAGCATAAATTATCCGTTTGAGATTGTTTAGTATGAACACGTGGCCGGAATACTCATTGTGAAACATTAGTTATTGTTGTATAGATGATAAATAATGTGACTTACGCAGGGATGGATACTTAAATTATTAAAGTTTTAACTGATATATTGGCTATGTAGTGAGTAGAATATTTTTTTACAAATAAATTATAGCAGCTAATGTGGTTTTTTATTTCAACCAACCATTTATATTACTAACTACAAAGGAGTCAAGAAGGAAAATGTGTTGATATTTTCAGGCTTTAGGATGCCAAAGGTGAGGCTCTGTAGTTTTTCATTACCCTCTTAGGCATGTCTATACCCAGCAGTAGGTGAACTGAATAGATAATAATGATGTATTTGATATATCTGATATAAAAATTGCTAATATGGGCGAAGTTTGAATAATGGTTAGTGAGGCTTCGGAATAATACAACAAATTACATATACATACATTTATTAATCTTATAACTAGGTAACAGTAACGATAGGTCGTTTGACGGCTTGTCGCGCCCGTCTCCGTTTGTCTCGCTTGCGGTTCTCAGTGAACGCCTCGCGGAACAGTTGCTCGTTGTCGGCCGCCTCGGCCTCGCGCCGCAACCACTGCAGCGCGTGCACGTTGTAGCCGACCATGTCCTGACAAATAATATTGCTTACAAACTGTCCAACAATAATTGCAAGGGCTGAAAATGATCGCTATAATAAGAGAGCAGACGCAGGGCCAATGAATTCGCACGTTTTCTCAGCCATTTATGAAATAAAAAATAGTTAAATGAAGGACTACTATTTTTTTACGCGCCAAATAGCGCTAATGTGGTGTAAAGTATGTTTTTCCAATCACTATGGCTTTTGTGTACAATGGTTTGAGTGACTAGCTAATGCTCTATTGGACAAAGAGACCCAATACTATCGGATATGGTATGCAAAACACGGTAGCTTTTTCCATAAACCAATTTAATATTAGAAGTTTCTGATACAAAAAATACAAGAACTTACTCGTAACTCATTGAGCCGCATGTTAGCTTTGGCTTGTATTTGAATCATATGTTTGAGTAGTGCCTGGTTGGCCACGATGGGTGCGTGGTGGATCTTCAGCAGGAACACTGCGAGGCGACAGAACAGCTCCGTGTGGTCGCCGCGGTCCAGGAGTTTCGGTAACATCTTCATTATATCGCACGATACGCTGAACGGGATCAATAGAAGAGCTTCTTCTAAATCACTGTAAGCAGCAACAAAATCAATAAAAAAAAAACTAGTTAATTCCATAACATGACATCACGCTTTTTTATCCCCGAAGGAGTAAGCAGAGGTGCACATTGCAGCACTTAATGCCACTGTACAATGTAGCACCCACTTTTCACTATTTATGTTATGAGTCCCGTGTAATAAGAGATGAGTCTATTGCCATACACCGACTACAATTCCAGACTCTGCTACTACTGAGAATTTTAAAAACCCACCAAAATTACACTTTGCCCGGCCCGGGAATCGAACCCGAGACCCCTTACCAGGCGGTCGCACTTGCGACCACTGGGCCAAAGAGGCAGTCTAGTCTAGCCTAGTTAATCACTTAATTAATCAATACATAGTATAAAACAAAGTCGCTTTCGCTGTATGTCCGTATGTATGCTTAGATCTTTAAAACTACGCAACGGATTTTGATGCGGTTTTTTTTAATAGATAGAGTGATTCTTAAGGAAGGTTTGTATGTATAATACATGCATATTGCACCCGTGCGAAGCCGGGGCGGGTCGCTAGTTAATTATAATTTAATTATTCTAAAATATTGACCCTCTTCTCAAGCATGTATGAAGAAATAGATGAAGTAAAAGAAGTATGCCAGAATCATGTCGTTTGACGTTCCATTGTTTGTCAATCCCAAAGGTAGACGGTGTGACAATACGTATGAATGTTGATTTTCTATATCTCGATACATACCTCGACCGTATTCTCTTGAGTGTCTCGACGAGGAAGTGTTCAGGAGTGGTGCAGTTGTAAGCGGCCATCAATAGAGGGGGCTGCACGTACTGGCCGCGCGCCTCTGCTATCTCGCGCTTGTATTCCGCACCCACTGACAGACATTCCATTATCGAATCCGCCTATAAAAAGTCATACATGCAGTCACGTATTACAATATTACGTTACTATAATGCTTGGAAAGTATCACAGAATATCACATTTAAGTAGTAATGTAAAGATATTGTGTAAATCTGGAAGTGAGAGTTCTCAATGCACCATCACTTTCGGGGAGACCTCATTATGTGGGCCGTAAGTTTCGATGCTACTAATAAGTTGCTCGTTTTACTCTTATGTCAAAGAATTATATAGATTTTTTGTTTACTTACCGCTTTCTCTGCTCCGATAGTTTTCTTCGTTGGCATATTGAGACCAGGTAAACCGGGTACTGGCGCCTGTTAATAAATAATATTATGTATTAAGTTACATATGATAGATTGTGTGAGGAATGAGAATTATGAAGGGATGGGATGAGTCGAAAGTATGATAGGGACAAATTAAATGACTGACTAGACAGTACAATACAATACCAGTTGAAATAAATGTCAATTTAGTTGCCTTCCAGTGCCTTTAGCCAAAAACCACTTTAGCGCTTGTCTACAGAGAGAGTAGAAATCAAAATGTATGGGGATGACACTGACAAGTGTCAAAATTTACGTCAATTCCATATAATTCGGTTTTCTATTCTACACGTAGACAAGCGCTAAATGGCATTTGGCTACAGCTGTTGGAGTAAGATAAGAAATTCCAATATTTCTTTCCACCGGCTTATTTTTTTAATGTTGACGAGAAAAAGTTTTATATACATAAATATGTTAGACGTACGTGTTGTTCTCCAGTGGCGAGTCCTTCCTCCTGGTCGTCGGTGTCCCCGAGTACGAGCGGCTCGTCCGTGCGCGAGTACAGGCGCAGCGCGCGGTCCGCGCCGCACGACGCCGCGTGCAGCCCGCCCGACCCCACGCACACAGCCCAGCACTCGCCCGCGTGACCCTGTGCCAATATGTTCTCCTACGTAAATACCTGCTTATGCATTTTTTGCTACCCCTAATGTACCTGCAGGTACGGTAAGACTAATGTGCGAAATTAATATAGCGTATCTCAATCCAAAATATCTAGATAGGTCAAGTCATACAAAGACTAATGTCAAAAATGGACCTTATTTATATCGACTGTAAACGACTACACGTTTTACAGAGACCAACCAACAGGGCTCTCGGATAAACGTGAACTCTCTAAATATGTATCTCTTCACGCGATGCTATATGGTACAAAATGAGAAGTCAAACAAAGTCAGATATTTACGTTGAACTCATTTAACGTGTAGTGTAGATGTATTGCAAGGTTTCTATTTAACCTATGGTAAGTGGGAGCGCAGATCTACGGGAGACTCGATGCGTTTTCTATATTGTGTCTCATATATCGACAGACAAGAGGAGTCACGGCAACACGCGTGAATGGCTGAACCGATTTCACTAATTCTTTTTTTGTTGTATTTGTTATTATTAGGAGAAGGTTCTTAAGACATAAAAAATCCTGAAAATCGTACGGGAACGGGAGAAAACGGAATTGCGCGTACCAAGTCGCGAGCAGAAGCTCGTTAAGAAATAAATAACAATAATTAAAGCCTGTACTTACATGTAACGTAATTATATTATCATACGTATCGGCGTCCCACTGCTTCACTTTTCCATCTTTCGATGCAGTGAAGAAGTAATGTGTTGAAGGCACGAATTGTAATGAAGTCACCGAATCATTATGTGCAAAGATGGATTTGTGACAGTCTCCAAAGTCCATACCCCAAATCTTGACGTTTCGGTCGGCCGAGCCAGTTGCTATGATGTTGGAATCGTAGCTGATGTCCAGACACAAAACTGGTAACTTGTGCCCATATAGAGATAGGTAGAACTGTGAAACAGGAGAAACTTATTAATTTTGTTGAACTCAGTTGTAAAAAAGAGATCTCAATTTGATATGTATGATGTTTAATGTTCTTCTATGTCGATGTATAAATACAAATTTTCACAGTTTGATAACCACTCTGACGTCCATGGATAGTACGGTATGCAAAAAAGTAGTGACGAGTTGTGTTTAACTCCATCTAGTTTTAAATACGGTAAGTATTGTTTGGTAAGTTTTGACAAATTATCTATTCAGCTGATGAAATAGTTCGTTCGTAGATCTTTTTTTTCGTATTTTTTTCTTTATCCTAGCCATTTTGAAGTTGCGACGTCGCGTGCGGTCTGGGTGCCGCGTGCGGCTGGACGTTAGAGAGACAAACGGTCGCGCGGACGTCATAGTAGAACCGCTGTATATTATGCCATAAATAGAAATCTAATCTCTATTAATATCAGTACTACGAAAAAAAATATTAAATGTTGATACAGTAGGCTAACGAATTTAAACGCTACTGGTTACAAAATAAAGTACATAATCAAGTGACTGACCTTAAAAGTATCAAGGAAGAAGATTTTGACGGTAGAGTCTAACAATGCTACTGCAATAAATTTGTTGTTGGGGCTTATTTTCACTGCACACACAGACTCCTCCAGCTCCAAGGTCCTTGTGTGTAGGAGTGATAGCACCTAAAATAAATACACATTTATAAGTTACGAAAACACAAATGACAGAAGATTTATTTAAACCCAGACTATAAGTCCTAAGATACAGAATTCTAAGTTAGGACGGATAAAATAAGTACATTTATTACCTTTGCTTTTGATTCTCCTGTTGGATCTGGTATAAGTTCAAACTGCCAGAGTTTGACCGTCTTGTCACCGCCGCCAGAATAACAACCTCGCTGCGAAAAAAACAATAGATATTAATAAAATTTTTCAAACTATATTTTTCCTTACCTATCTGATAGTAATTGAATCAAGTAAAAACGAGTCAGTGAGCAGCGCGACGTCGCCGCGACCGCGCACGCTGCTCATGAAGAAGAACCCCTATGTGGTTCGAAACTAATAGAGCTGTTCTCAGTATATTCACGTGAGTAATCCGCGTTTTTACTTAATTTAGTATGTCTCCCGATTGAATCATTGTACGGCTCAAAACATTTTATAAAACAAAAGTTTTTTAAACAAACTTAAATTATTATTTGCTTGATCTCCATAGAAGTTTTGGAGCGTAAAATTAATAAATAAAATTTCAGTGTTGTTTAGCAAGGTT